CTGGGAAACCTTGGGCACTGGCATTCATGTGGATGTTACTTTGACATGTACCACCTACCTAAACGTTGCTGCAGACCAAGTGCACCCCTTCATGACAAAAGTATTCCCTGGTGGCAGTGGCCTCTTTCAGCAGGATAATTTGCCCTGCCACACTGCAAAAGTTGTTCAAGTATGGTCTGTGGAACATGAACACGAGTTCAAGAGCTCCAAACTCCACATATCTCAATCTGACTGAGCATCTGTGGAATGTGCTGGACAAACACATCCAATCCACGGAGGCCCCACCTCACAGTATGAGCCACTTATCACTATAATCTAATTTCTCCAAAAATACACTTCCAATCACTCAGATCCACTTGTTGATGTCAGCTGCTTGTGACATTGCATTCATAGACAATATTGCCAGTTTCAGTCATTTTAAACCAACTATATAAGCTCAATATTGTTCACTTTGCAACAGCCAAACTATAAATATAAAACATTATAAATAAGAACAGGTTTTGGCAGATTTGCTTTTATAAAAATTAAATAAACATAGAATAAAATACTTCTTTAACACGTGCAAATATAGTTATTTTTGTTTAAAACAAAAACAGCTGTGTATTTAGGACATTTTATCCTTATGTTTTCGATTTGGCCCCATTTTAAAAATTAGGATAACTACCAATTTTTAACACGTCTAGTCACGTCTAATGTACTGAATGTACATTACAGTTATATGTGGAAGTCAAAAAGTAATGTTTTCAGTGTACAACGCAGATAGATAATCGACTGCACATACGGCATTGTGCTGTTGGTCAGTCTCTGGATGAAGGATGGCTGCGCTACTATCACGAAGCACGGGGGAAATGTGAAAGACGATCCCGATGGAAAATTACCGCTTTTACTGCGGCCAAGATAAACAGCAGCGGCGGTAAAGTAAGCATCCCCGTGTGTTTTAAACGCCATATAACCTTCTTGTACCTTTGACACTTGGCATGTTCCGGCTTATCGTGGCCAAGACCAATTAAAGTGCAAATATAACCGTGGGAGAGTCAATTAAGAGAAGAGCGACACTGCTCGCGGAATCTCTTCAATTTGTAAAGTGCCTTTTCTGCGTAGGGCTTTGACGGGGCAGTAAACCCCTGAGTTGGGGCAGTTATCGTGCACAGTAAAAAAGCAAAAAAAAAAAAAAAAAAAAACATTGTGGAAATAATAAAAATGACACTAGTTGAAAAATAAACATGTAAACTTTTCTCGCTGTTTTTTCATTTGTTTATTTTTTTAAACAGCCCAACAGTAATGGGAGCCTTTAAAATAGCGCGTTTGGTTTTAAAACGATGAAAAAAGAGGGAACGGAGGAGAAGGAACCGCGTGCCTCCCCGGCCCTCTCCCTCCCTCCCTCCTCCTCTCCTCCCTCTCTCCGTCTCTCCCCCTCTCCCGTGTTTTACTGACAGAATCGATACGGGCTCCGCTGACATGGAGGCCCGGTTTTTGTGAATGAGGCCCAGTCCGACCGGACCCAGCTCGGCTCCGATATCCAAAGCCCGGGAGGAGACAGCGCTCGGCGGCGGGAGAGACGCGGGGGCACCGAGAGAGGAGGAAAAAAAAGAGAGGGAGCCTGCGAAAGAGAGAGAGAGGTCCATTTCGGAGCTCGGTCGATTCAACGACGTCGCCGCCATTTTGTTGTCACTTTGTGTATTTTAATATTGCTATATTTTTATCATATGATTATGTTCAGTACTATATTTTTTGACCGCACCGGTGAAATCGTGAGCGGTTAGCGCTCGTCAGCTCGCCGCCCTGCCGCTTGCTGGTTTTACTCGTCCGGCCCGTTTCGGGCTTCACACGCCGCGTATTACACTTTAGGCAGCCGGATAGTCACTGGCCGCCGACGGAGGCGTAGCTGTCGGCAGCGACTACAAGATAACCGGAGTCCATCTACTTCCACCACTCGGCCGGCCGGAGGAGCAGGCGGGGGCCGAGCCGGCCGCCGAGTGACACGCTGAAGTGGCGTGTCGGCCCGGGGCGGAGGGCTTCCCGGATCTCAGTGACTGCCAGAGGGATAAACATGATCGGCGCGGCCGGCAGGCTGAGCGCCCGGCCGTGCGGGCTCAGTGACCCGGAGGACTGCTCCGATCGCGGCGCCGTGTAGCCGACGCGACCCGCCGCTTGTTTTACTTGTCGTCTCCGTGAATGTCACGCTTTTCACTGTCGTGATAACTTGGTCATTAAGAAGGGGGTGGGGGGCACGGGACGCCCAGGCATCCCGGGCACTGATCGTGTGCGCGGCCGAGGCTCCTGCTGCTCTGAGCCGCCACGGTGGTCGTGCGGGGGCGGTGGCGCCCATCGATTAGTTTTTGTGTTTTGTTTTGGGTCGCTAGCTGTCACTTGCCGTTTATTTATAAGCACTCACTCCCACGCCGCTTCGCGATTGGGCTTTTTTCCTTTTTTGTTGGAAACATCATCGTTTACCTGCTTTTTCCTTCTTCTTCAGGTGGCGCCTGTTTTTGTTTTTGTTTTTTTTTTTGGACATTTTGTACGTGTGCGATACTGATAAAACAACAACAACAACAAAAAGAAAACAGGAAACAACACACACACCATCCAGCATGTCTGCCCGTCCGCATGGAGAACGCGTTTCAGCCTGGATGATGTGAGCGCCGTTTCTTCCTTTACTCCCTGGTAAGTCCTCGTTTCTGAAGCCCAGTGTCACTTTCCTGATTACTAAACCTGGATCCGAGTCCTCACTCACGTTTATTCTCTGTAGCTTGTAGCTGGCCGTGCAGCAAAACACTTATCATTAGCATCCTGCATGATTTACAAATGTGGTTGATCGGTCTTTCACGGGCAGGAGGGGAACTTGAAGCAGTGATCCTGCTTTATTTTTGACGTTTTTTGTTGTTGTTTAATGTGGTTTATTTATGTTTGTGTTGGTGGATCGAGGTCCAACTTTCCAGGATAGTGGTGCGTTCTGTCCTCGCTGTTTTGGGCAGCTGACCAAAGGGTGTCATGCAAAAAGGGTAACAGCGCAGTTAACAATAACACGACCTGCCTGCGTGTCGGTAATCATGCAAAGCTTTGTGCCAGGAGACCGTCTCTCTCCTGCGCGCTGTATTTGAGTAATGCGCTGTAATGTTTACACGTGTACGTACAGCGTGGGCTCCGTGGACCAGATCCCTGCTCATATTCGCGTTTTGTGAGAAATTGCCAGTCCGCTTGAGTAAATGAAGAGCAGCACGGCGGCTTTAAATCGGATGGTACACAATGTACGACCACGCTTCCCAAGTAAAACAACTGCGCCAGCAGCGCACGGTATGGCAGCGTGCTGCGTTACAATTACTGTTACAGTGCTGCGGCGCACATCACGGGCCGGAGGGAAAAGGGGGATCGCCCGTTTTAGTCCCGGGGATGTGTTTGATGGCTTTAGATTTTGATACAGATACGCGATAAGAGCTGGATTACATCAACATTGTAAGACCCGTCTCACATAACCTTGTTCTGGCACGGCTCGTTAGGCATAAAGCAAACCTGAGGATCGGGGCAATTTGGGAAACGAAGGGCGTCTCAGAATTCGGGCGAAAACCAGTGATCGCAACGCGGTGTAGGATGTACATTAACAACACCGTTGTGATAACCGCAGCATCGATGTGCTGCCGAGGCCGGCCGTAATGCAGACGTCCCCGGGCAAAGACAGCATCGTTAAGCGTAACTCTGCCCAAAGAGACCGCTAGGAGCATGTTTAACGTCGCGAGCATCCGATCGGGCCGATAGGGGATGGCGGAGGTCGTGTGATCGCCGCCGATCAAAGCTGGGTTAGATGGCGTGCAGCTGAGAGGCCTTTTGTGGCGTAGGTGGATTTACTAGTGTGTGCGCGAAAGAGGAGGGATGGGGAGGGGACGGGAGGGGAGGGGAGGGCTGCACTTACTTGTTTACTATTTCCCCTCTGATCGGTATTCTCACAATCTGTCACTCGGCTTCCTCCCTCCCACTGTCGAGCTGTTCCGATTCTGTCTGCGCCTCTTTTTTAACCGATGGCTTTTGACTGGCTACCTGAAGTGATTTTGCACGTTTCACTGTATATTGTATATTAGAATTATCTTGGGTTTCTTTCTGTTTATTTCTCACTCCTTTATTCGGGTTTTATTTGTTGGTGTCCCCCTTTTTCCTGCCGCTCACTCTATTTCTTTTTCTTTGCCTGCAAATCTGGGCCAATCACATTCGCTGGTCAGTATAGACCGCTTGCTTGTGTCTGAGTCCGTCACTGCCGTTTGGATGATCGTCAATAGGTTTGTCAACATTGCAGTCCTCCTCCTCGCTCCCCCCCCCCCATTTCGGTTTTGTGCCAGGCGTCAGTAATGTCCGTATTTATTTCAGTAAACATGTCGCCCGTTAACATTTCCGCTTGCCCGCTGAATATGTCATTTAGCGGGGAGCTCAGTAGACAGCACCACTGAGACGGGTGTCAGTCAGTTGTCTGAGGCATCCTGGAGTGGATGCCCTGTGGCAGCATTACCAGTCACGCTGTCTGTCAGTAACTTTCTGTGTTCGTTCCTTCCTCAGTCAGCCTGTCCTAGGCTTACACATGTAGCCTTTTCACATTTAATTTATTTTTTTTCTTCATTTGAAAGTGAACATCATTTGGATTCACATTAATGGTCCGGAAGCCTGGCAGGGAACGTCACTGACGTCTGTCTCTTTGGGCTTGCCTGCGATTTTTATTTCACTTTCACCTTCTCTGTGTCTTCACACCAGCTAATTTGAAGAGTCATTTTGTTTTTGTTTTTTTTTGTGGTGCTCTATATATCCTGTCTCCTCGTGGTCAGTACTTATTAACACTGCTGTAGTTGAATTCAGCCCTAGTTTTGAGAGGCAGCAGAGCACAGGACGAGAGGCGTGAAAGGAGTTGGGGTTAGTCATTGCATGGGAGAAAATTCCGGATCTTTGGGATTCGGAGTCTCCAGGAATGGAAGGATTGAAAATGCATGGAAAGATGATTGAACAAAGCGTACGGCACTGGTGTCTCAGGAGAAAAGGAAAGAATGAGAGACAGAGGGTGTGTTTTGTTGAAAAGAGAGAGGGGGAAGAGAGGGTGTTTATTTTGGCAGAGCTGCGTTCTGGTCAGCACTTAGAGGGAAAGACTTGCGAGAGAATGTGAGTGAGAGTTATTCAAAGCAGCGCTGCGAGTGACTGTTTTCACTGGGATGTGTTACCGTCATAATGACATGGTAATGCGATTTTGACGTTGGCTATGATGGAAACCTTATTGCACACAGAGACAATTTTAGCACCTTTGGCACCTCCTTGCTGGCAATAGGTGATTTGTATTTTTTTTGGGGGGGTGGGTGGGTTACACATTTACCTCTGTTTGGTAATGGGAGGTAGAAAGCGCCAAAGAAACGAGAGAAGCAGCATAAGGAAAAGCGACAGCTGGAAATGTGGTTTGGATTAAGAGAAAGATGGTGGCTCTGTTTTGACTGTTGTTAAATTTAGTTTGCAGTAACTGAGGGAGGGGGGGATGAATACGGTAAACACAGAGAGGTTTGGGGTGGGGGACAGCCGATGGAGGGAGGGAGGGAGTGAGTGAGTAGGAGGGAGGTGGGACCAGAGTGGGGTATTTGAGGAGTGGAGGGGGAGGGAATGTGTAACTGTAGTAAACACTGAAATGTAGGCGGAGGATACAGGGAAAATATGCCAGATCTCATTCAGCTTTCACAACGAGTCTTGTCTGCGTGGCCACATCTGCGCCCCTCGTCCCCCCCCCAACACTGGTCCTTGCACCCCAGTATCTGGTAACCTTTTCTAGTGGCTTGGAGAGAGTGGCGTGTGGCACGCGTCCTCCAGGGGCCAGAGGCACTGAAATCACCGTCCAGAATTATCTCCGAATGACTTTGCAGCAGGCCCCACGCCAAGGTCTCGTGGAGCCCACGGCGTTCCACCCCCCCCCCCTTTTTAATGGCTGTCATTTCCAGGCTGGTTCAAGAATCGAGGAGGGATTCCGTCATGAAGTCTCATTGCCTTTTAATGCGCTGCTGTAGGATTTTGCCATCTCACTGCATATGTGTGGGTTGTAGTATGATTTTCTTTCTAGTTCTTTATGGTTTACTCAGCAGGGGAGTGAAACATCTGTTGCTTTCATACTGTGCTCTGTTGATGGACGTGACTGATCATCGCTAAATGCTACCCTACGCTCCCACTGTAACTTCATGTCGATTTGCTTCTTCTGAAACTGTGCCGAGCAGCTTCATCTGTATCATTCACACTGAAGTAGGTCAGGTTAAGTACCTTACTCAAGGGTACAAAAGGAAGCTCCTTCGGGAACTTGAACCGGGAATCTTTAGGTCATAATTTCAGGTCTTTGTCCCTTTTGAGAAGTGCTCTTGTCGGCGTGTGTCCTGCGATAAAAAGGATTAATCTCGTCTTTCTCCTTTCTCTCGATGCAGCCCGAAAGAAGGAAACGGGAGACCAGGCAGATTGAAAAGGGCAAGCAGGCGGACACTTGACCAGGATTGCATTTCGTACTCTGACCGCCCCCTACCCCCCCCCCTCGGTCCCTCCTCCTTCCCCCACAGTTGTTCACCTCTTCCTAAAAACAGCGGCAGGTGACAATACCGCCACCCCTAGCCTAAACGCCTTCCCCCCTCCCCCTCCCCCCCCCAAAATCTCTGATGGATCAGAGAATACAGGGGGGGCCAAGTACTTCGCCCCCCCTCCCCCCAACGGCTTCCTCCACAGGGGGGTCAGATAAGGAGGGAGGGGGTGGGAAGAGTGAGGAGGAGAAGAGGGAGAAAGAGAGGGAACGGGTCTCAGCGGAGGCGCCGGATGCTGCCAGTGGAGAGCAGCAGCGTCAGTTCTCCATCAAAGAGACCAGCTTCTCGGAAGGCAATGTCAAGCTCAAGATCGGGCTGCAGGCCAAACGCATGAAGAAACCCCCCAAGATTTTGGAAAATTACGTCTGCCGGCCACCCATCAGGACCTCCCTGCGGCAGGGACGTGGAGGGGGGCGGAGTAGCCGCGGGGGCGGAGCTGGCAGCTGCATGGCTGGGAACGTGGACAGTGGCGTCACCGAGGCCTCCCCGCACGACAGAGCCAGGGAGCAAAGCCCAGCTGGCACAAACCCGTCCCTTTCGCCATCTTCATCAGCAGCTGCACCTCCTCCTCCGACCCCTCCATGTGTCCTGTCGACCTCCATTGTGGGAAATGCTCCTGGGAAGAGGGTAAGCCAAATCTGTGTTGTCCATTTCATTGCCTGTTATTCCCAGTTCACTTTGGCCGTTAAAAGCTCTCTGGTCAGCCATTCCCAGTAATATATTGCATTTGAGATGAAAAATGACTTTGATGGATTAAAAATCGCACCATCTTTAAAGTGTAGACAAGCAGTGTTTCATATTTCACGCACTGGTCTGTGACACCTTCTAATGCTGGTATTACGTCTGGTCCATCGGGCTTCGCTGTGCCTTTTCTGTCTTCCGATACGCTTCACCGCGGTAAATTCATCGAGGACGCACTCTTCAGTGAGTGGATGGCCTCATCTTCTGTTTGATCTTCACGCTGTGACCTGGCAGAGAAGGGAAATTCCCTTGGGCTCACTTTAAAAAATGTGCCATTATGTCCAGGAACTAATTTCACTAATAATTGTATAGGGGGCTTTTTTGGGGAATCCTAATTCTAAGATTGAGGTTGCCAGATAATGGGTAAGCAGCCTGCTCTGCGCCACCCTGTGCTGAGCCCACGACCTCTTTGAATTATGGTTGTTTTTACTTTCAGTTTTGCCTGCATCTTATTCTCCATGTTTTGTTGGTGACTACTGTAATGATGGTTTTGTAGGTTGATTAATAATAGCAATGCATGGAAGATGTCCCTTAAAAACTTACTCTTGGCTTGTGCTCGAATGTAAACCATTGGTGTGTGGTAATAGCCAGACGGTCCCTTGTGAATTACTCGAATGTCGGTGATGGCACTTCTCTGGGTTGTGGTGCCAGTTTACTAAGGAAGTGCATCGCATGCCATTTTTAAAAGCTATTGGCTCGTTCTTGTGAGGATCAAATGGACCTGAAATATGCAGTGACCTTGAATGTGGCTGCTTGTACATCCTCCAAAAGTTTTTGATGGTACAACAGAGCCCACATTTGACCCTCTGTTGCTAAACTTTTCTTTTAAACTTGTTCAGGATCTAAGCAGTGATGATTAATGAATGAATCAATTAAGCTTGATTTATAGTATAATTAACTAAGTAATTACATAAGTAATCTTCCTTTTTAAGCAACATGATCACGGCATTATAGAAACTCCTGCCCCATTATCTGTAGGAAGCCAGCCCCAGATTGACATATGTTGAGGTCCCTGACAGCACTGCTGTCTGGGGTCAGTTGACAGGTTGGATAACAAGAGGGTCTCCCGGAATGAAATCCAAGCTCTGTCTCCGAGTAGCAGGGTTGTAAAACTCATGGCCTCCCTCTTGCTCCCGGCCGACCCTTCGGGGAAATGAGTTACTGGGCTAATCTCTGAACTTGGCAGGCTAGGGAGCGACCATAACACAGCATGAACCTGCAGCACGACCTGCACGTGTGGCATGGGTCCAGTTCTGCCGTCCGCCTGTGGATCCCTGGCTTCCCCGGTGATTCCCCGATAACACTCTGGTGGCATGCGCTGATTTTTTTTTTTTAATTTAGTGTCTCTATCGAATCACAGAAATTGCAATGAAGCCACATTTAATTAAATCCAGTACATATATGATATGGGTTTACGGCATCAAAAGTTGCTAGAGGCTTGTCTGTAAGGTGTTCCTGCATTGTATGCCTTTTGACACCATACCAGAGATGTGTGTTGCCTCTTAAGATGTGTTGTGCCGTGTTCTTTTAGTTCCGAAAGCCACACACGGCCCATGTTACAGTAGTGTGGAGTTTGACCTATTAATAGCTAAGGTGAATTTATTGCTGTTCTTTAAATAACGCAGAAATTCCAATTGTTAGAAGCTTGGCTTCTAAGGTTACAATCAGACAGAGATATATGTGGGCGCAATGATTTCGAAGCAAATTATATTTTTAGTTTGATGTTTTCCCGACAACCCACATCAAACACAGATGCATGAGCCAGAAACGCACATCCTACCCACAAGTTAGGCAATCAAGGCACAATGTAAAAGAAGGAAGTGAAATCTATGGCACATGGCACCAAGTCGGTAGTCCTGACAGATGGAAACATGCAGAAAATGCATGCAGTAGCAAATAATTAAAATGAAAAAACATTTATGTTTTGTGCTCTATATGATATTCTGTAAAGAGAAATAAGTATTACAAGCTTATGGGGTTGAACACAGGGTTGGCGTCTCTGCTTTCAGTGCTAAGTGAAGGCCAGGATGCTGTTTTGTCGAGAATGTCTCCTTTATTATTTTTCCGGTGACGTAGATTCCTTGCAGGCGAGAGTGCGGCATTCCCCTGGAATGTTTTCTGTCTGGGTCCTAAGACTTCCGGGTGGCATATTCAGAAAAAGCCCTTGCTTTCTGTTGAAATGAAATATTTTCCTAATGTGGTCAGCTGTATGAGATTTGGAGCCGTGAATAATGGCAAGCTGGCCGCACCGGGTGCATGAAATAACGCGGCATTGCAGCTCTGCTTTTTGCCTGCCATCTGGTAGGTGATTAGTGATTATAACGTTACACCACAAAGCGTTTTAAGATAGTTTTAGGTTCGTTAACCAAGAGGAAGGCTGTGGGCTGGCTGGCTCCCTCGCTCGGTCATGGCGCATTCGGTGGGCGGCCGGGCGGGCATCCTCGGAGGAATGGAGATGCCGTTGCTCCGGGTTCTGCCGCAGTTGGCATGTCACTGGGGAGGCACTGCATGCCGCCAGGGGAGCAGGACACCAAAAGGATTTTTTCCACCCTGCTAAAATTCCTGTTTTCCCCTATGGTTTCTTTTTTGTGTTGCTAAAATGCAGGGGAAATGTGGGTATTTCGTGCCCTATTTATATCAGCCAATAGGAGTGGCTCATTCTCCCTGCTGTTCTATTTTTAACTTCTCTATGCTCTACCTGTACTCATTTATCTCCCCCCCTTTTCATTTCCCTCTTTTGCATGCCAACACCATCTGTATCTCTATTACCTCACCCTTTTCTGTTTTCTTCCCCGTCTCCTCTGTTACTATGTCACAGTGTCCTCTCCCTCTTCTTCTTTTTTTTTTTTCTTTCTTCCCGCCCCCCCCTTCCTTCTCGGACTGTCCTTTCTTTGACCCTGATAATGCTGTGGACTGCTGTGGTAAGAGAGGTCCCGTTTCCCTTCATGCCTTTCATTCACCCTTAGGCTAGTTATTGGGTTCACATTGAGCAGAGAACTATAGATACAAAAGCGTTCCTTATTTCTGACTGGCACTATTGCACTACAGACTTGACCTTAAGCTGTCTGTAGGCTTGTGGAGCAACAATGTTGGTGAACGGTAGTCTAGCCGATATGAGAGGGTTTAGGTCCACAATTGATGTTTCTGGTATTGCACAATTCTGTGTCAGAGCAAGGCATATTTTTATTATATTTTAAATATTAACAGCACAACGTTAATATTGGCTTCTGGGTCGAGCTGTCCTATTCCCTAGCATACAGGCATTTAGGCGAATTGATATTGCTGTGAGTTGAACTGAGCGAATGATGCACTCTGCCTCTCCTCAGGGTCCACCGAAGCTGGCTCGCAAGTCGGAGATGAAGTCAGACCCATCATTGGAAAGACAGGGGAACCTTCACCACCCTGAAGTGGATGGCGTACTGCCCCACCCTGGGAAGAAGAGCCCTGCCCCCCAGACTAATCACCATCCCTCGACGCTGACCCTCCTAGGCCCTGGAGTACATGAAGCCAGGAATGAAGGGGGTTCCAAAACCTCACCCATTAGAGAGCCTCATAAGGAGAAGGGTCTACTTAATGGTGGCATGCCAACAGTCACAGAAAAGTTGGCCCAACTTATTGCCACGTGTCCACCCACAAAATCTACCAAGGGAAAGATCCGCAAACTGCCGTCGGCTACTGTCCCAGCCAGTGCTCCCGTTCCTGCTCCCATATCGTCTCCCAGCCCCCCCCAGCCTGACACAGCTGTGCTGAACAGAGGGACAGGCGCTATTCCACCAACCGTGTTGCAGTCGCCTCTTCCTCCTCCAGTGTCTCGTCCCTCAGGGCGTCCTCCAACTGCACGGCACAGAGACAGTGTTTTGGAGAAGTTTTCTGCCCCATCTAGGAAAGAAGAGGCTAATGGAGAGAGCAAAGGGAGCCACAGCAGCAGCAACAATAACAACAACAATGGCAGCGCTGCAAGCGGGATTTGCAGCAGCTTGATAACCACAGTGGCTGGTGGCAGCCAGCAGCATCCACATGTGACTGGACCTCCTGCATCCTCCACATTGCCTCCCCTCTCTTCAGATCAAAGTCTAGGAGGGCTGGCAGATGTCCGACGTGCCCCTACTACTTCTTTCAGCACACTTCCTCGAGGAGGTTCTACACAGATGTCAGATGGCTATGAGAAAGAGCAAGAGCGGGAAAGAGACAAGGACAGTCCCAGGGATTTGACTATGAGCAAATTTCCCACTCTCTTGGGATCAGGGAGGCTTGACAGCAACAGCAAGGCAGCTGTTTGGTCCCCCAGCAGCCAGTGCAGGGCAAACGCCGCCCCTACTAAACCCAGTCCAAACCGGGACAGGTGTACTAATGGTCCAGGTGCAGCTGCAGAATCCCCAAGGAGGACCTCTTCTCCCTCAAGTCCTTCTCCTGCTAGTCTTCCCACCACTCGGATAAGCGATCAGAGCAGCACGCCACCTGGCTCTCCCTCTGAACGGGACTGCAAGCCATTGAAGAAACGCAAGGGGAGGCGCCCACGTTGGACACGGGTGGTAAATCGGGCACAACGGCAACCCCCAGACAAGGAATCTCTTCCTGCAGTGGAAGATCTTGCTGACCAGCAGATTCCTAAGCCACACAAGCCTTTAACTCCGTCAGCTCTTCTGACAGCCCCTCATAAACCCAGAACAGTAGGGCGACCCCCAAACTCCAGCAGAGTCCACCCTGTGGCCTCTCAGGTCCTCGTTGCTGCACCCCGGAAGAGGGGTCGCCCAAAATCCAAGATGCCACGACTGGATGCACCCTCTCCAGGACATTCTGTCAAGCTGTCAAGCTCAAAGGTGTACTCCCTTCTCAAATCCAAAGAGGAGCCAGATCCACCCGTGTTACATCCAGAGGTTGAATTGGATCCTCCTAAACCAATGCCCCGGAAACGCGGGAGACCTAAGCGCCTACCTCCCACTCTACCCCAGGAAGCCCCACTCCCAACGCTGGCCCCTGAAGTTAGGCCCGGAGGTGGTCTGATCATCACAGATGACTTGGAGTCAGACAAGCATTTCCGTAAGAAGGGCAATGGGCAACTGATGATGAAGACCATTATTCGCAAAATCAACAAGATGAAGACCAAAAAGAGGAACCGACTGCTCAATCAGATATTGCTGGGTCCTGGGGATGGGGGTGGGGCCTTCAGAGCAGAGGCGGAGCCCTCAAAAGCGGGTGATGTTGGGACGGTAGGGTCGGTCATGACTGCAACAAACTCTCTGTCCTCCTTGGCTGCCTCCTTTGGTGGCAAACTGGGTCCCCAGATTAATGTCAGTAAGAAGGGAACAATTTACATGGGCAAGAGGAGAGGACGCAAACCGAAGGCTGTGTCCGCCTCTGGGAATCCCCCAGCGGGCCCCTTAGAACCCTTCCGTTCACCGAGCTGTGCGTCACCCCACCACCTTCACCATTCCCTGTCTCTCCATCCACAGCAGCAGCAGCTTCCTGGTTCTCCCGATGCCTTTTCTTCCCCTCTCCTGTCCCAGTCCAGTGGTGCCCAGAGTCCCATCAGTGATGGTGGGTTTGTTGAGCCGGGAGCCGTGCACTTCTTGTCCCACCAGCACTGTGGTCACGCATACCACTCCCACCACCCTTTTCCTCTGCCCCCACCATCCTCTCCGGCTCCCTCCCCTCGTCCCCTCGGTACCTTGGGCTCACCCTCTGGTGTGGCCCCAGTCCTGAAAAAGTCCTCATGCCGGGCACACCACCACCACTACCGGCACCAGTACCACTACCGTAAGCTCTCGCCTCCCCCGCCCCTGCTGCCCACCTCCCCGGCACACTTGAGTGAGCTGAAGGAAGCCACACCTTCACCTGTCAGTGAGTCTCACAGTGACGAGACAGTGCCCAGTGATAGTGGCATAGGAACGGACAATAACAGCACCTCTGACCGGGGGGAGAAGGCAGGGGGTGGAGGTGGAGCAGGAATCACTCAAGGATTGGCGCCCGGGATACTGACGCCAGGGGTGGTGGGCTCAGTGGGCGGGGTCTCGGTGGGTGTTGGCTCTAGGAGTCGGAGGAGGCACACGTCTGTACTGCTGGATCACCCGTCCCCGGCCCCATCCCCACTGGGTCCTGGTGTGTCCCAAGACACTTGCAGGGCTCATGCAGCACCCCCACCTGCCGTATTACTGGGCCACAAGGAGAAGCACAAGCACAAGTGCAAGCGACGGGGACACAACTGCCCCGGGTACGAGAAGCTGAAGAGACAGAAACGCAAAAGGAAGAAGAAGTACCTGCAGCTTCGGTCTCGACGGCAAGACCCTGACTTCCTCGCGGAGCTGGAGGATACCATCGTCAGGCTGAGCGAGATCCGGATAGCGCACCGCAGTTCCCGCTTGGGGCCAGGCGGGGCCTTGGGCTTAGGTGCTGGTGCTGGTGCTGGTGCTGGTGCTGGTGCTGGTGGTGGTGGTGGTGGTGGTGGTACTGGTATAGGGAGTGGAGGCCACCCCCCGACTCACCACTACCTCCCCAGAGACCTCCTGCCCACCATCTTCAGGATCAACTTCAGCGGCTTCTACTCCCCCCACCCAGCATACCCATGCGACTCCCTTCACTACGTCCGCAAGCCGGACATGAAAAAGAAGCGCGGGCGGCCACCTAAGCTGCGGGAGGCAATGGCAGAGGTGCCGTTCGTTCATGGACTTGGGTTTCCCTTGTCGGGAACTGGCTTCTACCACCCATCCTATGGAGTACCCTACTCTTCCACCCCTCTCGGGCTAAGCTACTACAGGGGCTACCCTCCTGCTGCAGCCCTTTATCCACACTCATCCCACCCGCCCCCGTCCCACCATTCCCCCTCATTCCCTCCCACATCTTACTTGCACCATCACCCACCCCACCTCTTGCTTAACCCAGCCAAGTTCCACAAGAAGAAACACAAGCTTCTGAGGCAGGAGTTCCTGGGTGGGGGTCCCTCGCCTGTGCTGTATCCCGCTGTGCCCCCGGAGTTGTCCTACAGCTGGCTCCATGAGCACAAACACAAACACCGGCACAAGCACCGTGAGCGGCGTGGGGAGGAGGGCGGGGCTGATCCGGTGGCCATGGGAGCGGCTGGGGGCGGGCCCTCTGCTACCAGAGGCATGGGAATGGGAGGCGGATCTGCGGTGATGGAGTCGCTACGGCGCTACAGGTACGGGAAGGATGCCGCATCCTCCGCCCCTGCTGCCAGTCCAGCTGCCACGGCTTCTGCCAACTCCCCTTCCTCCTCCTCCTCCTCCTCAGCAGAGAGGTACAAACACAAGGACGTGCCCCTGTCCTGCACGGTGCCTTATCTCTCACCAGCAGGGGGCACAAGGATGCGTTCTTATCTAGAGCCCTGGTTGAGGAGGGGGAGCCCTGATTCTGACTATGCCAGCCTGCCTCAGAACTGCAACCCTGGCCAAGACTCCTTCTCTGGAGGCCAAGCCGCTGACCCCATGGGTGCCTCAGAAAGTGAGGAGGAGGAGGACGACGAAGAAGAGGAGGGGGCCTGCACAGCCCCCCAGACGTCGGCACGCTCTCACACTCCTCCACACCATACAAACTTGTTCACAACTGCCCTCAGCCAGGCTGTGAGCACCGGGGGTCGTGGCAGGAGGGCCGGCATTCCGGCTGGAGCCGGAGGCTTTGTGGGATTTGACCGGGCTCTCCAGAAGGACCGGGCCCTCCCAGCCGAGAGCCGAGAGACAGGTGATGATGCTGTTGGGTTAATCCCTGCCATTTATCGTTGAATGTGACATTGCATTAAGTTGTTCTACAATGTATATGTACTTGTTCAGCAAAGTGTATTAGATACTTTGTAGGAATAGTCCAGTTGGAAGCTACTGTCGAATGTGTTTCTGTCTGTCTCTGTGGTTGACTGCCCATCCAGTGTGATGTGGTGTGTTCAGTCTCGTGCTCAGGCCATCAAGGGAACAGCCAACCCAACACGCCCCTCATCTATAAGGACCTATTCTACCAGTCAATGGGTCAATAGGGGGATTACAGCTAAGGATTATGGTTAAGGATACGGGGTCAGCCCCCAGTCACAGAAAGAGGGGAAAGAAAGGTTGTGAAGGGCTTTGATGGTCGTGTGTGCCTATGTGTATGCGGTGCGGTCTGTGTGTGCGCTTGTGTTTGCTTTCACAGGGAGATGAATGGTGAGGTGTCGTGTTAAGTCCGCTTAGTCAGCTAATGCTTTCCTGACTCGGGGTTTATTGCCCTGCACAAGTTAATTGCGCACTGACTCTATAGGTGTTTGTCTCTTCTGACCCCTAAGATTTGCTTGTCTGCAGAGTTTTGTTCTACTGTAGGGTGTTTATAGCTTAGTGTTTTTAAGTGTTGTTTGTGGTGTTGTATTGCTGTAACTCGCTAGGTGTTTTAGCAGTAAATATGTCAATGTTTTTCACCTCACTGCATATTCACTGCTGCTCTCATCTCCTCTTCCTACACACATTTTCACTTGCTTGCTCACATGCCATGGGGTTATGGATAAGGTTGGGGGGGGGGGCAACAGGTAGGCAGTAGAGGGGCAAAGGGAAGACTGAAAGTAAGGCGTTGGCTGGGAGAAGAGGGGAGGAGAGGCAAGGAGATGGGTGGAGAGTGTTGTTTTCGTGAAGAAGTGTGTTTGGCAGGGATCTGCTAACTAACTAGATACATATGTGCCCCAAAACTGCCCCCCCATTTCCCCCCCACACTTCCTCTCTCAGTCCTACAGTGTTTTTTTTTTTTTTGCTATGAGTGTTTTGGAGATGACTTGTCTTTCTCGTAAGTTTCTAGAATCATTTATGACTGGAGTAGTTTATGACTAGCTCATGGGCCTTTTTCGGTAGTGGCTGACCATCTTTATATCATAATTTATCAAGAATTAGTTGAATCATACTGTTTGTCACTCCGGGCTTATTTTATGCTGCAGAGGACCTGAAGCTCTAATAATAGACCCACACAGTGTGGTGTTAAATCATTTTGCCATGAAAATACCTCAGCTTACTTGGTCATGTAGATGTGACAGCTTATTTAAGATAAGGAATGCTGCTGTAAGTTGTGCATTACTGCCCGGTCTCTCGGTTTGTAGCCTGTGTTAGACCAGCAGCCTTGATTCAGCTGACTTTGGCTGATTTAAATCACTGGGTCTTTATTTGTGGATGGAACGCAGAAAGTGCCTGCTGGAGTTCATAGAGAGATATTAGGCTGTGTTTGTGTTCTGATGTGGGTATCCTGCCAGATGTGTTTCCTGCATGCATTGAGTGTGTGTGTCTGTGTTTGTGTGTGTAAGGCTGTTAGTATATGGGGGAAATGCCCATGTGTGTTAAATATAAAACACTGTCGAGTGGAAGTGTCTGTGTGTGGGGGCATATTAGTGATTCCCAGAAACAGACGCATCTTTTAGAAGAAGCTCGGGGCACCTCTGACTCATTTAAATGTTTCTACATCTGCCAGTCAGTCTGCTGTTCTGTCCAGGGCAGCCAAGGAGGTCAGTCATGACTGCACAGTCTGGTTTCATTCTCTGTGCTTTCTTGAAACGGCTGCTTGTGACTTATTTGTAATTTATGGTGTGAATGTCTCTGTACTGTGGTATTTAAAAGGAAATGCAGTGTTGGTGCTAGTGTGTCTATGTTCTTGGGATCTAACTGGAAAGAGTGCCATTTTACTCAGTTTTGCCTACTGTGGTAATGTCCTGTAGTAAGACTCTATCCTTTACCCCCCCCCCCCCTTTCCTTGTGCAGGAATGACGCTGGGTGTCCAGACCCGAGGCTCGCGGTCCGGTGCCCCCGAGTGTCCAGAGGGGGCACTACACCATCACCACCACCATTACATGCAGCACAGCCCTCAGCTGAGCCAGCAGCACTATCTCACTCGGCATCTGCACTGCAGCCATGAAGCCCCCGCGGGGGGGGCACTGGGGCCTGGACGGCCCCCCAGCCGGGAGCGGGTGAGCAGCGGGAGCCGGCAGGCCAGTCCTTCGGCGCGCACCTCCCAGGCCTCCCCACCTCGGCACGCACGCCCCCAGGGCCTGGATCGCCTGCTCTGCACCAAGCGCAGCCTGGAGCACGTCAACAAGATCCTGAAGGCCAAGAAGCTGCAGCGGCAGGCGCGCACCGGCAATAACGTAGTGAAGAGGCGGCCCGGCCGGCCCAGAAAGCACCCCCTGCCCTCCCCCCCGGCCTCCCCTGCCCCCCAGCAGCGCAGCTCACCTGGAGACACCGTGACCGATGTCATTGAGTCCGTTGTGCAGGGCCAGCGTAGGCAGGGGCACAAGAGGAAGCGCTGGGGTGAGGAAGAAGAGGAAGACGAGGAGGAGGAGGCTGAGGAGCAAGAGAGGGAGGTTGAGGGGCATGACGAAGAGGAGGAGGGTGCAACGGTGACGGAGGGAAGCAGAGGAGGGGGATCACGGGGGGGAGACCGCAAAGGATGGCTCACGGAGGAGGAGCTACACTGTTTCCGCAGGTGAGAATCCGCCAGTGTTTAACACACAGTGGAGGAGGGATTCGAACCCCTAACCCTGCTGCCGAATAACGCCAGTTAGAGCCAAACGGACGCAGTAGGTGGAGTCCATGCTGAGGAGCGTGCTCTGTCTCCCTAGTGCCCTGGAGGGTAAACCCAAAGATCACGTCTCTGCCGAGCCGACTTTGACGTCACCGCTGGAACAGGCTCCGCCCCTGGGTCCGCCCCTGACCCCAGCCACCCAGCGGGAGAAGCGAGCAGCCAGGCCCCCCAAGAAGAAGTTCCAGAGGGCCGGCCTCTACTCCGACGTCTACAAGACCGCAGAGTAAGTTCCATGTCCGTGTCCCCAGGGTCTGCCTGTTCTTGGCTGTTTTTCTGGATCCTCCCGCTCATCCTGCCTCTTCCCTGCGCCTGCGCAGTCCCCGCAGCCAGCTGCTGCAGCTGAAGAAAGAGAAGCTGGAGTACATCCCGGGGGAACACGAGTATGGCCTGTTTCCTGCCCCCATTCATGTCGGTGAGTCTCCCGCTGCATGTTGGCTCGAAGGTGGCTTCCTCAGTCCCCTGTGTCCATGTGGCTTTCATTGTGTGACTGACAAACCTCCCCGTCCCGTGTCTTGCAACCCAGGGAAGTACCTCAGACAGCGGCGCATTGACTTCCAGCTGCCATACGACATCCTCTGGCAGTGGAAGCACAACCAGGTATTTGTCAGTGGGTGGGGCTGAGTGAGACCATGACGAGCTCCGCCCTCTGTGCGCTTTCATTCACTCATGGTTAACAGACGCACACAGTTGATGGTATTTCTCCACATTCCAGCTCTACAAGAAGCCTGACGTCCCGCTGTACAAGAAGATCCGATCTAGTAAGTCTGAGCAGCTTCTCGTTTCTATGTTCTGATACTGTGCCTCTGGCCATTGCTGCTTTTTATTATTATTGCTACTGCTGTTGTTACCCTGACTGACTGAGTTAGCTATCCAGAGTGATGTTGACTGTGGGAAAGTACCACGTTAGCGCTTTGGCTAAAATTAGAGCCAGGCTGTCTCTGCCTGATTCTGCCCAAGACGTTTCCACGCCCCGGAGCACTGTGCCTTTAGAGTCGCCTCCATGTTAATGGTGCCCTTTCCCCATTCAGATGTCTACGTAGACGTCAAGCCACTGTCAGGTTATGAAGCCACCACCTGTAATTGCAGAAAGCCGGAAAACCTCACAGACAAGGGCTGCATCGACGACTGTCTCAACAGGTATCTTCATGCACATTCCCCTGTCCACCATTAGGAGGCGCTCCAGCTCCACTTTCAGCACAGTTTTGGGGGGCGGATTTACAGATGGCACATCAATGCAGGTGTGTCTATTTGGATGTGCAGACTGTATGTCTCCACCTGAGCCGTGTCCTCCACCCCAAAACAGAATGATCTTTGCCGAGTGCTCCCCCAACACCTGCCCCTGCAGAGAGCACTGCGACAACCAGCACATTCAGCGGCACGAGTGGGTGCAGTGTCTGGAGCGCTTCCGTGCCGATGGCAAGGGCTGGGGCATCCGCATCAAGGAGCCACTACGGGCCGGCCAGTTCATCATCGAGTACCTGGGCGAGGTGGTCAGTGAGCAGGAATTCCGGTGGGTCCCACTGCCTGCTCTGTGGCCGGTCTCCGGCGCCTCTCGCAGTGTCTGAGGCATCGCTCCAGTGCTCCTGGTCCTTGTGAGACTGTCTATGGCTCTAGTTCTTCCAGGTTGACAGCGATTCTGATTCACCCCCCCCCCGCCCACAGGAACCGCATGATTGAGCAGTACTACACCCACAATGACCACTACTGCCTGAACCTGGACAGCGGCATGGTGATCGACAGCTACCGCATGGGCAACGAGGCCCGCTTCATCAACCACAGCTGCGAGCCCAACTGCGAGATGCAGAAGTGGTAAGCGGACTTGGGGGAGGTGGGGGTTCGGGGACCACCGGAGATGATCGTAGGTGACGATCTCCATGAAGTGTGGTACCGCGAGGTAACCAGAATCGCGTGCTGATGGGATCTGCGGTAGGGTGAGACTGCCGGGCTCTCAGTCATGCTCTCTGATGCCCCCCCCGTAGGTCAGTGAATGGCGTTTACCGCATCGGCCTGTTTGCCCTGAAGGACATGGAGAGTGGCACGGAGCTCACCTACGACTATAACTTCCATTCCTTTAACACGGAGAAGCAGGTGCGCTGGCCCTCACCCTGTCACTGCCGTCCTTGTCGAGGTCTTTTTCTTCTTTTTCTGAACACCCCCCCCCACCACCACCACCACTCTATCCACACAGCAAGTGTGCAGGTGTGGCTCACAGAGTTGTCGGGGCATCATCGGGGGAAAGAGTCAGCGGCTGAACGGGTTGCCCGGGAAGGGGGGCGGATGCGGGGGTGGGAGCCGCAGGCCAGGCCGGCTGAAGGAGAAGAGCAAGTCCAAACACCAGCTGAAGAAGCGGGTGAGGGCGCCGCTCCCGGGGCTGTAACTTATCCTGTGATTGGCTGATGGGGACTGACTAAAACGAGGTGGGGGCAGGCTCGTACCCAGGTGCCTGCAGCTGTCTTGACACTATCTTCCCTCTGCCTCCCTTCTCTGCCGGACAGGAGGTGGAATCCAGTGACAGTGGGAAGTTCTCCCCACACCTACACATGAAGCCCATGTCCAACAGGGAGAGGTGAGTTCCCTGGACGTGTGTGTGTAGGGTTGCGGGCTATCTGGGCATGTCCTCAGCAGATTGGGGGCAGTGATCTTGGCCCTTATCCCTCGCTAGGAACTTCGTCCTGAAGCACAGGGTCTTCCTGGTGCGTAACTGGGAGAGAGTGAAAGAGAAGCAGGAGCTATTGAAGAGGGAGGGCGAAGTGGGCCTCTCGCAGTGCAGCCGCTGGGGCAGCGTCATGCGTGATGATGGCAACATCAAATCAGGTGCATTTGTGCATCTCCGTCTTCACCTGTGTGCACGTACTTGCCTGGGTTGCATGTTTCTTACATGCTGACTCTGCCTCCCTATGCCTTTCTCGCAGACGTGTTCCTGACGCAGTTCTCGGCGCTGCAGACGTCGCGGTCGGTGCGCACGCGGAGGCTGGCGGCTGCCGAGGAGAATACGGAGGTCACTCGCACGGCGCGCCTTGCCCACATCTTCAAGGAGATCTGCGACATGATCATCAGCTACAAGGGTTCGTGAGGGGTCCTCCCCCACATCAACATTAGCACTGCTCTGCCCTCAGGGGTCAGACAGGTTCTCAAACAGCCAGGGTTTGCCAAGATTAAACTTGGGGTTCAGACTGCCAGTCATGGTTCAGACTACCCCTGTTAGGGTTCAGACTACCAGTGGTAAGGTTCAGACTACCAGTGTGGTTAAATGCACCCTCTGGGGAAGGTCTGAGCTCTCAGGTCTCTGCATAGTGAGACTTGGCTGCCCATGACGTAAGTCTCTGTGTGTCTGCAGATTCCTCCAATCAGCTGCTGGCCGCGCCCCTGCTCACACTGCCCTCCCGGAAAAGGTGAGTGGCATACTGTGCCTGACTGCGCCCCCTCTGGGCATTTTGCCCAGTGCTGTGTCATCAGAGAGAGGTGTGAGCGAGTGAGCAGGCGAGCTGTATACTGGGCTGGGTGTCTCTACAGCCTGCTGCTGCAGTCTTTCCTGGGGGCTGTGTTGGCGTCTGTGTGATGTGGTATCTGTTGTGCCAGGTAGCTGTATACTGTAGGGGATGCATCCGCTGTATGAAAGTGTGCACTGACGTGTGTGCTGTAAGGAATGCATACACTGTATGGGAATATGTACTGGTGTGTGTACTATAGGGAATGCATCCACTGTACGAGAGTGTGCAGTGGTGTGTGCACTGGCGTATGTAGCGGCATGTGCAGGAGTGTGCGCTGGCGTGTGCGGGAGTGTGGCCTGGTGTGTGCAGTGGTGTGTGCAGGAGTGGGTGCTGGCGTGTGTAGTGGCATGTGCAGGAATGTGCACTGGTGTGTGCAGTGGTGTGTGCAGGAGTGGGCGCTGGCGTGTGTACTGTAAGGAATGAATCCGCTATATGAGACTGGGTACTGCTGTGTGTGTGTGTGTGTGTGTGCGTGTGTGTGTGTGTGTGTGTACTGTAGGGAATGCATACACTGTACGAGAGCGTGTACTTGTGTGTATACTGGTGTGTGTACTGTAAGGAATGCATCCGCTATATGAGAGTGGGTACTGCTGTGTTTGTGGGTACTGCTGTGTTTGTGGGTACTGCTGTGTGTGTGTGTCTGTACTGTAGGGAACGCATACACTGTACGAGAGCATGTACTTGCGTGTATACTGGCGTGTATGCAGGAGTGTGTACTGTCATGAGCCTTGGGGTATGTTTTGGTGCCAAGCCTGCCACACAGTGCTGCCATGTGGCCCTGAATCAGTGCGCTCCCCGTTTGCCTTACAGAAACACACAGTATTACGAGACAGTGTCCGACCCGCTGGACCTCAGCACCATCGAGAAGCAGATCCTCACTGGACACTACAAGACCGTGGAGGCGTTTGACACCGACATGCTCAAGGTGTTCCGTAATGCAGAGGTTGGTCCAGACCTGTCCTGCCGTCCCGCTGATTGCAACGGCGGAGAACACTGCCATTCACCCACCTGCCCGCTGTCCTCCCCTCTCTCCTGCAGAAGTTTTATGGACGCAAGTCCTCCGTGGGCCGTAACGTGTGCCGCCTGCGCAAGGCCTACTACGGGGCGCGGCATGAAGCTGCCGTGCAGATCGACGAGATCGTGGGCGAGACAGCCAGCGAGGCGGACAGCTCGGACTCGCTGGAGCGCGACGGCGCCCATCAGGGGACACACGACAAGGACGATGACGTCATCCGCTGCATCTGCGGCATGTACAAGGACGAGGGCCTGATGATTCAGTGCGAGAAGTGCATGGTGAGCAGCAGCGGCGGGGAATAGCGCCCCCTTCTGTCGAGGCTGTGGTGGTTCTCGCTGGCTCGATAAGAAACATGTTGATTTTTAAGGATGTGGCTAGCACTGTCTGTAACATATTGTGCTCTTTTTGGTTGTAGTTTGCATGTGTTTGGCTTTCCCTTGTCATGGCGACAGGCCCGTTAACGTGTCCCTCCCACACTTCCGTGCCTTGGCCAGGTGTGGCAGCACTGTGACTGCATGCGTCTTAAGGCGGAGGTGGAACATTACCTGTGCGAGCAGTGTGATCCCCGGCCAATCGACAGGGTGAGCTGGGTGTGAGGGGGCAGCTTCAAGCGTCTTGCTGGGGACTCCCCACAGGGAGGCGCTGTGACACATCCTTAACGGTGGCCTGTCGTCGGTGCTTTGCAGGAGGTGCCCATGCAGCCGCAGCCCAGCTATGCGCAGTCAGGCTCCGTTTACTACATCTGCCTGCTGCGTGATGACCTGCTGCTGCACCAGGGTGAGTGAGGCCACTGGCGACGGTGTGGTCTGCCGACTGCTGAGCTTTCTGTATAAACACAGCTTGTTGATGCACCTGCTTGTCCTGCTTCTGCAGGGGACTGCGTGTACCTGATGCGGGACAGCCGGCGCACCCCCGACGGTCAGCCAGTCCGGCAGTCCTACCGCCTGCTCTCCCATGTCAACAGGGACAAGCTGGACATTTTCCGTATCGAGAAGCTGTGGAAGAATGATAAGTAAGATGAGGGGGCGGGGCTTATGCAGGGACGTCTGGGTGTGTCTGTGATCATGTATATAGAACTTTGGGCGGACCATACGTCCCCACAATGTGACTAAAAACATGTTATTTTTACCTTGTGGAGACCATTTTAGGGGAAACTCGGTTTTATAAAAATCTGTGACTGCAGTCAAAAAACTAAAAATGGCAAAAGACATTTTTAAAATGGCAAAAGATGTTTGGTTACTTATGGTTAAGGTCGGCATGTGGGGATTAGATTTTTTCCCATAGAAATTAATGGAGAGTCCCCACAAAGATATAATTACAAAAGTGTGTCTTTTCAAGATTAAACACCTCAGCCGTTTCCAAAATTATTACAGGAATGATTAGAATTAATAAGAATGAAACCTCCATCTGCAGGATTGGAATTTTAACTCCTGATAGACTGAAAACGAACTCTTGTTTTGAGTGATTGTGGTCCTATCAGATGACTCAGAGGATTTAAAGGGACAGTCCGCGGTTTGTCTGAATGGTTACCACGGTTACAATTGTGCTGGCCTCTGTCGCCCCACAGAGGCGAGCGCTTCGCCTTCGGACATCATTACTTCCGGCCTCACGAGACGCACCACTCGCCATCTCGGCGCTTCTACCACAACGAGCTCTTCCGGGTGCCGCTGTATGAGATCATCCCGCTGGAGGCGGTGGTGGGCACCTGCTGCGTGCTCGACCTCTACACCTACTGCAAGGGTGAGGACCTACACACACGCGCAGACGCACACGCGCAGACAGATCTGCCAACAAATAAATATGGTCATGCTTGCGCAGAAGCAGACTGACCGGTGGTCTGCATTTCTGTCTGTATCGGTTCCAGCCATTGATTCTGTAGCTGCTTGAGTAGTAAGAAAGCAAAGCCTCTGTGTTCTCTGAATCCGCTTGGAAAATGACACCCGTGTGAGCATGTGACCCTGACTGGCTCCTTCCACCGCAGGGCGGCCCAAAGGCATCAAGGAGCAGGATGTCTACATCTGTGACTATCGACTGGACAAGTCGGCTCACCTCTTCTACAAGATCCACCGTAACCGCTACCCTGTGTGCACCAAGTCCTTTGCCTTCAACCACTTCCCCAAGCGGCTGGCACCCAAGAGGGACTTCTCCGTAAGGGCGGGGGCGCGGGGCGACGCTTGGGGATCCCGGAGAACATGTCTGCATGTTCCTGTGCCGTTTCAACATGCCATCTGTAAAACCCAAGACGTGTCAGTCACTCTGATAGGCGATTAAACTCCCATTAAGACATGACCAATACCCAGCCCTAGAACACTGATACTGTAACTGTGCTTGTTATCAAACAGCCTTTAGCAGTGCCTGTGCTAATGTGGGCTTTAATTAACGTTAATGGGATTATGCCACTTTCATCAGCAGACTGACTTATGGTTAGGCTTTGGGTTAGGGTTAGGGTTAGGGTTAGCAGCGGAGGTCAGACCACTTATACCGGTCTTACACCGGGTTATGGTCTTCAGTTTTCAGGAGTGGGTTAATTATACTTAATTAACTCAGTTTCAACTTTAACGTTATTAATATGCTGTGATAATGTGGTAACTCTCAGTGAGTAGTGGCGAGTGATTGGTCGGCCTGTCTTCCCTCCTCCCCCAGCCGCACTATGTCCCAGACAACTACAAGAGAAATGGGGGTCGCTCATCCTGGAAGAGCGAGCGACCCAAGCTGTCCTGTAAGGAGCAGCCAGTGGCGGGTGACGAGGGGGAGTCGTCGCCAGCTGATCCCCGGCTTAGCGAGGGTCACGCTCTGACTCCCCTGGTGGATGCTGAGGAGGGGCTGACGGAACGAGATGCGGACGTGGGGCCGGCTGGGCCTTCGCAATTCCTCCCCATGGGGCCCCAAGGTCTACCCCCGCAGGGGCCACAGGACCGGTCCGTCGAGGAGCAGCCCGAGGAGGAGGCGGAGGCTGACGTGGAGACACGCTCTGCAGAGCAGCAGGAGGTGCTGGAGCTACCTTCCTCCGCCCAAAATCCCTCGGAAGCGAGCAGGAGGGAGGCGCAGAGGGATCGGCTGAACAAGATCCTGCTCAACCTGCTCCATCAAACGGCCAGCAAGACCGGTGAGTGGAGTTAGGGGCAGGTGGGGGGTGCAGGAGAGATGAGGTGAGGCCAGGCGTAAGAAACAGCCCAGACAGGGAAAAGGCCCCTTCAGGAGGTGTGTACTGTCACTGATGTAACTGCTTCTGTCACCTGCAGTCATAGATGTGACGTATCTCCTCGAGGAGGGATCTGGGCGCCGGTTGCGGCGAAGGACATTGGGGATGAGTGACTTGGGTAGCAGGAAGTGATGTCACCAGCCGCACCTGGCAGGCCCCACCAGCACTTCCCTCTGCTTCTGCAGTGAATGAGAGGATTGGGGCACAACGCAGAGGAGGACACGGTCAGCGCAGAGAAGGATTGCACGGGAATTTCCCTTCTCGCCTCTCTGACAGAGCCCCACCCTCTAACCCCTACCCCCTTACTTTTGTCTTTCTGTCTGGGTACGTGAAGGTGGAGCTGATAGCCACGGCACTAGGGGGCAGTGAGGGTTGAACCGGGGTGGTGGGGGACAGTGGTGGACTAATGGAGAGAGAGACACACACAGATGCACTCGCGTGTGACACATGCCAGACAAAGAGGCCCAGCCTCAGGCCGACCTGTTCACCAGCGACGAGGAGCGACACACTAAAGACAGTGGAGGAGCCCACGCTATGCAAGACGGCAAAGGAAGGGTCGAGGTGCATCCGGGAGTGGGTGGGCGGTCGCCACAGAGACAGCGTGATGGAAGTGGGGGGTCCGTTAAGTCTGGACTTTTCATCAGCCCAGTCAGAAGGGGACGTCGGGGCTTAGAGCGCTTTACTGCATTGTTCAGGTGGGGTGGGCCTGCTTTGTTCTTACTGACGGTACTTCAATCTGGAGAGTTGGGGCACACCTCAGATGTAGATCAGAAACCCAACTTTATTCCCCTGAAACAGGAGGGAATGAAACTGTCACGCTTGGAGCGGGAACATCTGGGGGCTAAATCGTAAGGGCTTCTCTGCAATTACATTTGTCATTAATGGTTAGCGAGATTTTTTTTTTTTGTAAGCTGAAAAGCACTTATGTAAATGACACAAGGAATTTAGTTTTTTCCTTTGTGTCGGGGGTGGGGGGTGTCATTTTTGGGGTACTTGTTCATTTAACCTCTTCAGTTTGAATGTCCATTTACCATTTGTCTGGCTGCCTTGGCAAATGTTTTTAATTTTTTCCCCCGAGACTTGTGATGACATTTTTGACGTGATTTTGACCCGAGAGCCTTGGCCAGCTGTTCTGACTGAACCGATGCTTCTGCTGCACCTGGACAGACTGAGGGATGGGTGGGGGTGGGGGTTGGGGTGGCCGGGGGGAGGTTTTGGGATTTGTAGGGGGGTGTCAGGCCAAGAAACTGACGAGAACTAGTTGTAAAGTGCCAAGCTGTACATAGACAGGAATTTACGGTGAGCTCAGCCTCTTAAAGCAATATCTCAAATATGAATTTTGTTTATATTGTATTGTACAGGATCCAACCTGTGGAGCTCTACATGTATTAAAATACAGTTGTTATTATTATTACTATTATTTTTATTGTCCCTAAGTATGTATCTGAGGAAGTGTGAGGGCAGAGCTTGTCATGTATGCAAACCTGCGCTGTCTGCAGCCAGCAGAATGCAGATACAAAGCCGCGTGCTCTTGCATATACTGAAGCTGTGCTTATGGGGACTGGGGCAGTGGCAGAACGGCACAGTGCCGCTGACGGTCCTCAGTGTAGTTAGCATTATCACGCCCGCTAACGGCAGAGAGCGATCCTCTATTGTGCTGCGAGGTGTCGAACACTAATGAGCGAGTCCCTGAACGGCGGCAGACAGCAGTGGGGAGACTTTCGGCTCCAACTCTATTCCTAATGAAAAGTCATTTCATCATTAAATTTTAAGAAGTTCCAGTTTTTGTGACCACAGTTCTTTGTATTTTGGCGTGTTTTATGACTTTTTATTTAATTTTTTTATTTTTGGTTAGACAATCGCAAAAAGAAAAAAAAAAAGTTGGCAATTGTAAATGGACAGACGCTGTGTGTGGTCACACCTCTTCTCCGGTTCAGAGTTTGTAATTATGATTCTAACGTCACAAAAATGCTGTGTTTTTTTTTTTTTGTATGTTTATTAGTTTGTTTTTGGTTTTTTTTTTTTTTATAAAAAAGCACTACATTATTGCAAATAGATGATTATCATGATTATTATCATTGCAAATATGATTATGGTTATTAGGGTTATTTATCTAGTTTGCATGAAAGCAATGTGTCTGACTTTTGCTACACAAATGCTGCTAATAATTTACTTTTAGGAAAATAAATAAAAAGCGAAAAAAAAGAATAATTTATCGCCCAACAATGTGGTTTTGAATTTTGAACTTTGTTTAAAAAAAGAAAAAAAATACAATAAATAAAAATGATTTAAAACGTGACTTATTCCAGATTTCACCTTTGATGCAATATGTAACATTGCTAATTATTGTCATTATCTTATTTTATTACAGAACTGAATAAGTGAGATCGAAATGGATCTTTTCTGCTTTTCTCCATGGTAACCTTGTAGAATATTATTAAACTGAATACAGTTGTTGTTTTTTGAAGAGTTTAATGGATGTTTTATTTGAGTCAGTGTTTGTTGTTAGCGCTCAGACAACACACACACACACACACACACTCACTCACTCTTACTCTCAAACACTATGTTTGTGGGCAGTGTGTGGCCCTGCAGGTTAGGTATCTGTGTTCGTGATCAGAAGTTTCCTATTTCAAATGTCATACTTGGTGGAGTGATGTCACCATTGGGTCCATGAGCCAGGCCTTTAACCCCAGTTGCCCCAGGTACTGGCCAACCCTTTATGAACTGGAAAAAAGCAAAAATAAATAAAAATCAAACAACACATTAAAGGGGGGAGATGTATAGCTATGGAAACAAAGTAAATTTTCTGTGTAAGTCTTGTCCTTCCTTTCCACAATCTGGAATCTTAAAACATGTTTTATACCATAATCCCAATGGACTGAAACCTGCTTTTAAGCATGGATTCTACCCCCCCAGGAACCCCAGCTTTAAATGGTTGACAGGCCAGTAAATGCTGAAAAAATTAAGTACAATTGTATTTTGTTGCAGTGGTATCTGAATGAACAGAGTGAGACAGGCACTTGCCTTGGTGTGGGACATTTAGTTTATTAATTATATACAGCTAAGCACATGCAAGAGCAACTGGATAGAAGCTGATGGCATGAGTGCATAAGATAGTGCTCTCAGCACGGGACGGTCAGGATAAAATGCACTCTCACAGAACCCACATCGACAAAGGAAAGGTGGAAACGGCCTTCGTGAAACCCCGCAACAGCGAAGAACACATATACATTCGCAAGACAACAACGGAAATGCCCAAAACATAATGTCCAAAAAAAAAGTACAAAAATAAAATATCAACAACAATTCCAACAATTTATTACAAGTCTTATAGCAGATGATATCTCAGAAATGTGTGTTCCTGAGATTTGTTGGTTTGTTTTCCGTTGTTAGTGTCACACAGGCCCAAGGCCCAGACCGTCGGGGTCCCGTTGGGTGACAGAGCCAACAGGAACAGTTTCTGAACACCTCTGCCAAAGTCAGCTTTCCCAGGCTCCTATTTCGAGGTCATTTCCCGGTGATGAGAGGTCACTTCAGCTGGGGTCACAATGGACGGCTAGGGACCAGGGGGCTGTGCTGGTCTGCACCTCAGGCAGCATATCTACCCCCCCACCCCCACACGGGTACAGGGGATGTGTGTGTAGCGCACAGCATATGCATAGTTATCATCCAGAAATTCAAAATGTGGACAGTCATAACATGAACGAAACCAGAATCTAGTTATAAATGTGTTATGCCTTTTATTCAGAAGACTACAATAAAGTATTACTGATGATGATAATGCTATGTGTTGGTTCGGTACAGTTACTTGTCAGCCTAGCCCTCTAGTACTCCAGTCCTGGAGTAACAACCCATAACGTGATTTTAAAAGCCGGGCAAAACGCAATACCACAGCAGACGATAAATGCGTACGGATCCATCTACCATGAAAGAAAGGGCTATTTACGTGTGCCTAAAAGCGCAGGGCGTGCAGAAACGCTCCACGCCAGAATTGCTCGACCTTTGTGGGAACCGCTGCGATTATAGCTAATCCCGAGAGGACGTCCCCCCGACGTGCAGGGAGGCCGGCATGAGCGAGGATCCCGGCGGCACGGCCAGGTGAGCGTGTGCTACGGCGGGTCACTGAGCATTCCCACTACATCGTATGTTAGGGCTACAATAAATAGCTGAATCTTTTGAGTTGTGCTACAGATACATACATATATTAGCTTGATCCAAACACACTGGACACACCTCTGGATGCTCAAACTACCAAGACGACACAGGATTCTCTCCCAATACTCTACTAATATCAGTGAGAGGGTTGCAGATCAATGCTACAAGTGAGATATATATGTATATAACAATAATATCATGTGCTGACTGATATCTAATGGTAATTCAATACAATTTTTTTTTTTTTTTCAATTTTCTGGGTGCCGTTATTTCTGGCTTATTTTAGATATGTCGTTTTTTTTTGTGTTTTGTGCTAGCTCAATACAGATATTGATGATATGTATATATTCCTAGATATGTATATTTATACATTTAGATTTATCATGAACTGAATAATATTGGTAAGAGAACCATTTTAAACACAAATCTGGCAAGAACAAGGAGAACAGCAGACACTGAGCACAGCCACTGATCACTATATCAATATGCCTCTTCAGTTATGCGGTTTCATTTTTAGACCACTGTCCAGTCAAAAATCCAGGTGGCAGTCACATGATCAGGGAGGTATAGCCAATAGGAACAAGCCCCTCCATGTCGCCCCGACGACAGCGAACCCAGTCGTGGTCGACAGTGCCTAGCACCACGAGCTCCTCCCCCTTCTGGAAGCTCAGCTCAGCCCCTGTACCTGAATGGTCACAGAGAGTTCGCACTGACCTAAATGTTCACAGGGAGAGAGAAAGGGGACAAAAATTCAACCAGGAACTCAGAGCACAATATACAATACAATATAGCCATCCATCTATCCCATAATTTTTTATCTAGTACAAGGTCACCGAGGTAACCACAGTGTAGTTGAACACACACACATGTATGGAGTTACAGTGGAAATGAGACCTGTAGGCTCTCGGATTTCCCTCCTCCCCGTCCGTCTCCTTCGTCCCCTCGGACACGTCCCCTCTGTCTTCAGGCACCGGGTTTAGCGTGGGGCTCACCATGCGGCTCAGCGTTGACACTCCTGGGGCCAACCAGTGGGATGGACGTCTTCGAGATAGGGCGGGGAGGACAGGGGACACACTGAACAACATAAGATGACATCACCTCAGCAGGAGCCCTGACCTCATAATCGGTTCGCATGCATATAAGACACGCGGCTGCGGCCTGCTCACCTGGTGGACGACGTGTGCGTCTGAGCACTTCGGGGATCCCTGGAGGCTCCAAAAAGCCTACCCAAGCCCCAGGGAACGGCCGGGGTCCTGTCAAATGGATGGTCTCCATGTGTCTGATGACTGATGATGTCCGGCTGGGTGACGCTGCCAGGGGATTCGCCCAGCCAGACATTCTGGGCGAGAGCTTGGGGGTCAGTCCCCCCTGAGGTCACTTGCGAGGATGTGTTAAAACTGCCCCAGTTCTGCCCCAGCCTCTCCCCCCAACGCAGCACAGCCCCCCAGCCCTGCTGGATGACTTGGGTGGCCTGCTTGGACAGGCTGGCCTGACCTGGGGGCAGAAGCTCTTTCTCCTGCACCCACAGCAGCTGGCTGGTGGCCCCCACCTTCACTCTCGGGGTGGGGCTCTGGCAGGCCTGCTCCTCCTCCCGACTACCACCAGCCCTCTTACCCTCGGAGGTGCCGGAGCTCGCTCCCCAGCTGTCCGCAGCCTCCTCCAGCTCCCCGTAATCATGCTCTGAGACACTCTCAAGACGAGCCCTGTTACCGAAGACCAATGCTTTGGGGGAGACATGGAAAGTGCTGCCCACGTCTGGGCTGCGGGGGGATGGGGAGGGCGTCGGGGACGAAGGATCTAGGTGGTGGTGCTGGAAAAGGAGGTCGAGGTTGAAGGTGAGAAGCGACAGGGGCTGCAGGAGCAGCAGGAGCTCCTCGAAGAGGGGCTGACAGAGGGAGTGGGAGAGGCGCATGAAGGAGGTGGGCAGATAGTAAGTGGCCAGGACATCTGGGAAGAAAAGGAAGGAAAACAAGGGAAGAGAAGGAGAACAGCCATAACTTTTAGATACACCTCAGTGAAAAACTCTGAATAAGGCTATTACAGGTATTCAGGACAAAGAGGGGATGACACTATGCAAAGTAATAATTGCATGCGTCTGATGATCACCGTACCCTCACAAGTCTGCAGGTGGGCCAGCCAGTAATCAAGCAGTTTCACACTGCAAGAAAAATGGCCAGAATTAGCACGTTGTCTGAAACACTCTAGGGCGGGAACCTATGAGAAACCTGTACTGAGGAAATCACCGGTGAGAGACCCAGCAGGCCGAGCTGAAGTGGTGCTTACTTGAGCAGGCCGAGCAGGAAGGCGTTGAAGCGATGACGGGCGTGTCTGAGCTGGGGCAGTTCAGCAATTCGACCCTGGAGAGCGTACAGGGCCTGGGTGTTGGGGCCTGCAGCAGGGAGAGGGCAGCACAGACAGACAGAAGAAAAGAATGAGAGAAAAGACAGTGGGCTGAATTCAGGCTCCATTTCACACTCTGACAGGCTGGATGGCGTACCTGGCTGTGTGGAGGCCTGCACCAGGCCCCAGGGAGAATTTGGCCGCCTGCCTGTGATCAGGTCACTCTGGTGGGGCTTGAGGCCATCCGAAAGCAGGGCCCGGAGGGCAGGGCACAGGCACTGCAGTACCAGGCGACCTAGGGCTGGGTTGATGGTGCTGTCCCCCGACTGGGCCTGGGGAGGACAGGAGGAGCAAAGAAGGAGTGGAGAGAAGAGAGGAGACAACAGGGGCGAGAGCAGAAGAAAAGGAGGAGCAGGAGGCAGAAGGAGAGAAGGACAAAACAGGACAGTGAAGGAATGTGGAGAGAGAGGGATGGAAAGGGTTAGAGAAGATGAAAGGAATGAGTGAACAGAGAGGGAAAACGAAAGGTGGTAAAAGGGAAGCAGAAACAGAATGGGAGGGAGAAGAAGGTGGGATAGAAGGAGAAGGTGGACAGAAAGAGGAGGAGAGATAAAATAAAGGTGGGAGCGTAATGAAGAGAAGGGACAGGGCTGGTTAATACACAGGATGGTTTCGGCTGATGTTTTAAAAACACTGTTAAACTTTTTCATTGGAAGGAGACTGAGGGAGAAACGGAGAAGGAGAGAGAGGAGCAGGGCAGCGAGGAAAGGAGATACAGGCGGTTATTTTCAGACATGGCTCCCTGAAGACTAGCCTGCAGAGCAGAGAGACTGACCTTCTGGACCAGGGTTCGAGAGGAGCTGAACTGAGCGAGGACGGCCTCCACTGCCACGCTGACGGCGCTGACAAGAGCTACGGGGCAAGGCAGCACATGGTTAAACCTGACTGGGCACCCTGAACACCCCCCAACATAAAGAACGGGAACATTATTAGAAACGCAGAATAAGCAGGCAGCAAAGTACGGGAACTGCTGTAAAGCAGGATCAGGGCTGCTCCATACCTCTCTTTTCCTCCAGGCACAGAGAGGATAGCTTCTGACCTCGGAGGGGGTTCTTCGAAGCATCTTCCATCCAGGAGCTGCCCCTCTGAGCCGAGCCGGCGAAGGACAGGCTGCGGACTGCCGGGGGCAGGTGGGGGAACACGATGATGAGGCAGCAGTTTACGATTTTCTCAAATGCAACTTTATGCGACGGTAGAATATTTTAAAAATGCTTTGCAAGTGTGGTTGTAGTGTAATAGATAGGAGGGGGGCGGGGGTCAGAGAGAGAGCGGGTGTGGGGTGACAGAGAGAGAGAGAGAGAGAGAGAGAGAGAGAAAACAGGTCCAGAGTGAGGGGGAATAGAGAGAGGAGGGAACAGGGGAGGACAAAGAGAGAAGGAGGGGCAGAGGGAGAGAGGAACAGAGAAGGGACAGAGAGAAATAGAGAGAGAGGAGACAGATGGCGGGGCGGGGGGGAAAGAGAGAGAGATGAACAGGAAGAGGAGAGGAGAAAGGAGGAAGAGGCAGAGAAAGAGACAGAGAGAGAAATGAATGGAGGCCAGAGAGAGAGTGCGAGAAACAGGCAAAGGAAATGGAACAGAGTGAGAGACAGAGAGAGAGACAGACAGACATACAGAGAGGGAGGGAAAGAGAGTAGGAGAGAGAGACAGAGAGAGACAGACAGATAGAGGGAGAAGGAGGGGGAGAGAGACAGACAGACAGAGAGAGAGACAGACAGACAGGGAGAGGGAGAGACAGAGAGAGACAGACAGAGGGAGAGAGAGAGAGAGCTCTTACTCAGGGTGTATAGCTGTGTCTGCTTGGTGAGAATTGGGGCTTGGGGCTCCTTCATAGGGGCAATAGCTGAAGTGGGGTGGTGGAGAAAAGGGCAATAAAGTGGAGCAGAGAGGGCAGGAAGGGTACGACTGCGAGGGAAGAGAGGGGAGTGCAAGCGTGACACGTCTGCCCCGGGGGATGGCAGCCCCCACCTCTGTGGGGGGGAAATCGCCCCGATGGGAGAGAGGCGCAGGGAAGCTCCTTGGTGCAGGGGGCAGCTTTTGGGGCTATAAAAGTACCAAGCAGGTGGGTCTGGGCAGGGCCCTTTTACTACTGGACACAGTACCAACTGATTACAGTTTTCATCCACATCAGTGGTTTGGTGATCGTCTAGCCTGGCCTGCCTCCTGCACGTTTCAGTCTGTCTCTTTGTCTTACTGTAAATAATGGCCTCTATATTTCGGTATGGGGTTGTACAGCCCTCAGTGTCAGTGCAGCCCTCTCCGTCGGCACTGTAACTGCACAGGAGTGTCTTTCTGTCGAGGTCCCCTGAGGGCACTACATCTACATTACTGTTCCCGTCAGTGCAGTACAATGAGTCCACATTACTGTTCTCATCAGTGCAGTACAAGGAATCTATAGGACTCTCTGGATCTGCACAGTACAGCGAGTCAATCTGGCTCAGGGAAATCGGACCAGTGGACGCCACACCCTGGCTGTTCTGGCCAGTGCCGCGGGTCGGAGCCCTGTAGGCACCGGCCTGGTACAGCGGGGGTATCTGGGGTTCGGGGTGCAGGAAGTAGGGAAAGGATTGTGGACTGGGCAGGGCGAGGGACAATGGGGGTGAGGACACTGCCCAGGCGAGCAGGGATGGGAGCAGGGGAGGAGCAGAGGAGGGAGCAGCCAGCAAAAGAGTGGTTCAGGCCAAAGCGGGAAAGTGATGTCAGAAGAGGAGGAACAAAAAAGAAAGATAGCAAACAAAGAGGAGAGAAAGACGGACAGAATGTTAGTGTCTGCTGAGGGAGAAGACAGCCCAGAATAGGCCAGCAACTGACACTGGGCATAAAACTGACCTGAAAACAAAACCCAACAAATACACTTAAGAGAAATGGGTCTTTAAGAGAAATGTGTTCTCTGAGAAACTCGCGCCGTGCTCAAACACGCCAGCTGGAGCTGACACGGGAGCGGCTTCCTGTTACCGCCTCTGCCACTCGCTGGTGTTGGCTGAGATCTAAGCCCACTCTGTGTAATGGATACATGGAATTCGTCAGACCTGAGGAGCACTTTCACAGAAGCATTTTTACCGCATTAGAGAGCTCCCCAGTTACTTATCTCTGTCAATTGTGTTTGACAGTTTGCTGTTGGAGCAAAATCTCGGTATTCAAACAAGTCCATATGGAACTGTCAGGGAAACTGCCCGTTTCAGTAACATTTTGTGCGCTATTTTCTTCATTGCAAATTCAGGGAAGAAGAAAGGACATTATATCGATCAACATACCCAGTGTGGCTGTCTGAAAGTCAACCTGACACAGCTTTTCCTGTCAGCCTGCTAGTGCTTCGCTCCTATTGGTCGACAGAATAAGCCACCTCCTTCCTGTTCTTAAAGGCATATGCACCGCTGTTGCTTACTCTGGGAAATGTAATGGCACTCTCAATCTCAATCTCAAAAATGATGCTGACAAACTGACAAACACACACACAGGCATACAATCACAGACAAAAACAAACAAACAGGTGCAATTCCCCTCAATCTATTTTTAACATGAAGCAAGAAAAGACACCAAAAGACTGAGCACCTCTGGGTGTGCCATCATCTCGCATATAGCAAATATAAATATCAAACAAATACCAAATCAATTTAAAATACCAACTTACAACGGCTCATTAGTCATTTAATAATTAATGATCATCGACAGATTCAGAGGAGAGAAATGGCAACTGCAAAAACATACAGGAGCAAGGACCTAAAGGGGATTTAAAAAGGGACCTTTTGGTTCCCAGAAAGAGGCTTGCAATAAAGAAAGAATTGTGAGAAAGAAACAGAAGAGAACAGAGAGAGAAAGGGGTTAATCTGAAGCTTTGCATAGGAGAGGTGAGAGAGAGAGAGAGAGAGAGAGAGAGAGCAGAAGGCAGGATGAGTGGACAGTGGTGAGGATCCATGAGGATCGCCGAGGCTCGATGAAGTCTGCAGAGCAGATGAATAATTTAATGAGGCAGTGATGACTTCCCCGGGGAATGACATCGCCCTAGGATCTCCGCTGAAACCTCCCCATCGCGCATTTCCACCCTTCCCATCCGACTGCCTGCTAAGCAGGCACACACTGCCGGTCTCCCCTGAATCTCTTTCCTCTCTTTATGTTTCAACATGAATATAACCGGTAGCTATTCTGCACTCTCCCTGTGATTGCTGCACAGAGTCAATGTAACTAGCCTGTCAATGACACTGTGAGACCAGCAGAGATAAGGTCCCTCACAGAGCCCTTTCCAGCACTATGGCTGCCACATGCTTTCTGCTAACTCTGGGACTTACCTGTTGTCCCTGACTCCCATTTTCTGCCCCCGTCAGCTCTTCCTCTCACCGCCCCTTCATCCTCCTCTTTTTTCCTCCAGCTCTCATCCTGTCCTGTGGCCCCGCTGCTCCACAGGTCGCTGTCGCTGGCCGAACATCCTATGCGTTGCGAGGGGCAGGACTGTGACTGGCCCCCAGCGTCGCTCACCGGCAGCACCTCCCTTTTCTCCGGCAGCGGTGGAGGCAGTTGGTGCTGAAGGAAGATGGACTGGACCTGTGGGAGGTACTCCCACTGGCTGCCATCCCCGTCAGCCTTCTCCTTTCTCCACTTCAGGTTGTACAAAACATCTGGATCAGGTGTTATCACTGTCGGGTCGGGTTCTGGCTGGACCACAAGTGGCTGTGGGTTCTGCCTGCTCCGAAATCTCAGTTCTTTGAAAGTGGTGACTTTCGAGCCCACTTTCGCCTTCTGCGGACTGACCTCCGGTGTCCTGTCGGCTCCAAACGGAGGTGTCTCTGTGTCTGGAGAAAAGGCTATCAGCCAATCAGAGCGATCCGGGCGAGCTTTATTTGCAGAGAGGGTACTCAATGACAGAGAGGGGAGGGGAGGGGGCTGGGGCAGTTTCGGAGGGCAAGGCGGTAAGGGCCGAGGAGGTGGAGGTGGGGGCGGAGATGAGGCCATTGTAATGGTGTAATCGTAAGTGTTGTGAGAACTAATGTCATGGTTGCTTGCGATGACACTGGTGCTCGTCGTGCTGTAGTAAGCGTCCGGGTTTGAGTGGTTATCCAGGCCATATGTGCAGCTGCAATTGGAAATGACGTTGTTGCGCCTGCGCCTCCTTGCCATCTCGGTGAATGAAGTTGTCTGGAAGGCCTCCCTGCTCTCTTCCTGCACTGCTCCCTCTCTCAGCACATCCTGCTCATGCTCTCCAACAGTGCTTTCTCTTCTCACTCCCTTCATTTCACCTCCTTCATCCTTCTTGCCCTCTCCACACTCCTCCTCCGGTACCTGTTTCCTGTCATGTTTTTGGCCCATCTCTTCTGTACTGACTTCTCTTATTTGTGGCCTTACCACTTCAGAGAGCTCCCCATCGCCTTCCTCCAGCACCCCTGTGACACACACTCCCAACTCGGGGCTCAGTTTTAGGAGCTCGGCCTGCGTGAGTCCAGCCAGGACAAGCAGCTTGCGGATCTCAGCATCCAGGGCATGAAAGGAGGGAGGAGGTGGAAGAGTTGGGGGAGGGGGGATGGCGGGTGGAGATGGAGCAGCCGGGGGAGGAGGAAGAGGAGGTGGACGGGAAGTGGGAGGGGGGAGCGACAGAGGGGTCGATTCGTCCTGGAGATTGGCAAACTTTTGTGCTTCCAGTCGTGCCTTATGGCGTCTCCGCGGAGGGGGGATGGGAGGTGGGGGTGAAGCAAGAGTGGGGGGGGACGAATAGAAGGTGAAATATGGAATTGGCTGAGATGGAGCAAGAGGAAGAGGTGGAGGTGCTGGAATGGTCTTTTCTGGCATACTGGAGGACAAGGACGAAGATACAGTCTGGAAGCTGGTCATGGCGGAGGATGCAGTTGATGCTGGAATGTTGTTGTTTATATTAACATATGTGTGTGACTCGGAGTTTCGCAAAGTTGGCTTAGGCGGCCTAGGGGGTGGCTGCAGGGGAGAGGGTGCCAGCGAGTCTGGTTGGAGGGGCTCATCTAAGTCTGAGGGGGCACTCAAGTCAACCCCCGCATCAGAGAACTCCTGAGACTCACAGATACTGTCCCCTCTGTAAAGCCTCCAGGTAACCTCCATGTTTCCGGTCCCATCCAGGCTATCAGACAGGTCTTCTTCATCCAAATCTAAACCTGAATCTCGAATCCTTTCCAAATAAGTTATCTTCACTTGCTTGTTCACCAGTGTGAGCTTCTCCAGGTGACTAAGTCGATCTTGCAATGCAATGTCACCCTCCATTCCCCATTGAGCAACTTCAACAACTTTACTCCAGTAGTCCATTTTGCTAAGTTCGCTCGAGGAATTCAAGTAGGTTAGCAGATTCACTTTTGAAGTTTCTTGCCCTAATGATGCTTTATGCTCGATGTAATCTGAAGAAGGTGAGGACCGAGCTGACGGGTAGCCTTCATCTGGGGAATAAGGAGGCAAAGGTTGAGGTACAGTGTGGTTGGCACCCATTGGGATGATTTGGGGCTGGGAGGTCGGGGAACCATTTAGGAGGTTTTTCTCTGAGGACATCTCTAGGAAGGAGGAAGTGTTGATGTCCGGGCAATCTGACTCAAAATCTGAGCAGCTACTGATGGAGGTGGATGAAGACGAGGTAGAGGAGGAAAGGGAAAATTCTAGGAGTGAGGGGGGGCAGTCGTGGCAAGAAGGTACCAGGGTATCTTCGTCTTCATCATCATCATTATTATCGAAGTCTTCTCCCTCATCAAGTTCATTGATTTCCTGTTCTTCATTCTGTTCCGATTTTCCTCGCTGTTGGGTGTCTAGGCCATTGTGCGATGGTGATACTGCACTTCTGGGATTCTGCTGTGTGTCCCCAGCCTTTTGATGAGCACCTACCCCAGTGTGCGGCTGTGCCGGCTGTAGGTGAAGATGTTGCCTGATGGCAGTCGTATTATTGTTGTTATAATTGTGGTTGTAGAGGCTGTTGCTATCGTGAGGTGAATGCCCATCGCAGCACAGGCACGGCAAACTTGGCTCATTACAATTCGGGTCAAGAACAGAACTCGGACCAGGTGCTATATGTGCTACTTTTGGTTTGAGTTTTGACGTCGCTGGAATGTTTTTGCCCTGGGCCACCCTGGTCTGGCCGGCAGTAGATCGGCCAAGGTGACTACCCCTAGGTTTGTGATGTTCAGCAGATACCTTACTGCCTCGACTCACTGAAGAGGAATTTGCTGAATTTGATGTGATCTTGGTGCTTTTCTCTTCCCTCCGGTGGCCCTGACTGGTAGACTTGGGCTCTACCACATTATTACGTCTGTGGCCATCTAAGTACCGCGGCCGGGGAGGAACAGAGGGACGCGCAGATGAAAGCATTGTGAAAAATGGATGGTATGATTTATTTTAGGTGTTTTGAAAAGCAGAGTCTCATTTATTATCTAGAACCAGACATCCAGACTCAGGTCGGATGTGTTTACATCTTGATGCCACTCAAACCCTGAAACAGTAAAAGACACAAAGTCATTGCATTGCAAACCTTCTGCAAGTTTGTAAATAGATATTGTTTGAAAACGCAATACCATACAACATTCGATTATTCTCTATACCTAAATTTTTATAGAATAAAATAAAACGTAAAACCATCCAGCTGAAGGTATAAATTTGGTAACTAGGAAATTAAGGATTTATTTAGAATTCCACCAGCCAACCACTCCTCTAATCCAGATTTACAGTAGAGTACACTTTAATATGCTGTCTATTTCAGAACGCGAATTTTTTTATCCATTGAGAAATACCGCTCAGCTTAACGCCAACGATAGTACCCGACCAATACAGCTGGCGGAAAATCAAGTTACTGACATTTTTTCTCCCCCAAGTCCATCGCCCTGTGACAAATGAGAGGGCCACGGACCTAAGGCAAATAAAGCATACTTGTTTTTCTCACATAAACAGACATAATTTAGCACGCAGGGATACGTACACTGCAGATTTTCAAAGGCCTCGTTGCAAATACCCGTATTCCTTCCTTGACGAGCCCTCATCCAAAGAATAAGGAGAATATGGAGCAAAAAAATGAACGCAATGTGAACGCTGTTCGATACAACTGAGTGTCCTTGGACGATGCGCTCTCCAATCTAAATATTAACAAGAACAACGCACGCATCCTTGTTATTTATAATAATTTAACCGTGTCTAACAATATAAAGAGCACGAAGATGAGCTCATAAGCTGTAAATTCCTGGTTTCTGCCGGCAGATGCATCGATCGAACGGGCCGTCGACGGCAAGGGAGGGGGGCAGTCTCCGCCGCATCGCCCCGCTTATCTCCCCCGCAACATCGGCGAAATATGCAGGGTACATCATACCTTACATCACTTTAAAAATGTTTCGTTTTATGGCTGACGTCAAACTCCGAAGTATTAGCATGAAAGTGACGAATAAACGGCGATGAACGGGTTTCAGTATAAAAACAGTGGATCCAGAATTATAAAAGGTAAAATACCGATAGCAGATGGCGAGAGTATTAATTAATGACGGGGAGAAGAGAGACATTTAATATCACTCACCGGAGATGAAGAGAAGGATGTAGATGGAGGCAGAAGACTGCGGATGCAGATGTTTGCCACCGCGGCTCCCTCCCTCCCTCCTCTCCTCCACTCTCTCTCTCTCTCTCTCTCTCCTGCTCCCTCTCTCCACGGCCACCTCCTTATCTGTCGTCATCCACCCCTGCGCCCCCCCCCCCCCAAGTCGCTTCTATCTCTGTTTATGTCCGTCTCATTGTGTTCTCTGCATTCTGCTCTATAATATATGAATTTTAAATCATTACTTTTCATTATATTGTTATTCATTCTTTCACATATACTGTGAAAAACATAGGCCTATTACCCACAAGGCCCAAAACACCATGATATTTAACATCACCAATGGCTGGAAACAACGGCTAAAACCGCGGATAAATATACGTTTGTGAGTATGCGCGCGCTTCCAGCATACCTCGTGACGTAAATAATTATGTACTACATGTTAATATATGGATAAGCAGCTATTAATAGTAACAGGAACTACCCAGCAACGGGTTAGGAAGAAGTATACCTAAGGTATACTATACCTAACGATTTTCACGTAATAACTGTTATATTTTTTAACAATATTCCGTGGCATTTTTACATTTGCGAGGATGTTTAAGTTGCAGAAAATGGATGGAATTGAGGTAGAGAAAATGGGACCTATATCACATTAATATACAGGGTAATAAAAGAAATGCACACTAACACTCATTTACATAGTAAATTCAGTTTATTAATACAGTGTATCACTTGAATACCAGCCCCTTTTGTGTATCTCAAATTAACGTGATAGATCCAGGCTTCCTATATAAATTAATCAAGAATCATTATTCACTACTGTAGACTATCAAGTAAATATCTTTACTACTATTACACAAATTGACTACAGAAAAGCCAGAAACCGTATGACCCAAAGAGCTCCAAAAAGCCATTTATCAGGCAAAAACCAGGATTATGTCCTTTGTTCATAGACATTGTGCCTGCAGCCGACTGCTGAGATTCCGAGTGCTTTGCAGACCATCACTCGCTAGGTCCCCCTGTCAGCTTGGTATGTCCCCAGACCAGTTTTATTTCTTTACTTGTTTCTCCGGTAAATTTTCCTTGCGAAGTTCAGGAAGACAGCATGGGGGAGGTTGTCAGCGTGACTTTCGATGAGTTTCAACAGGCGCTGGTAGCTCTCATCCTCGTGTTGCCGGTAATGGCCGGGCATGTCCAGAGTGGCATACAAGGCCTTGACACGCTCTACTCTCTCCTCGTCACTGTGCCCATAGGAGGACTGCGTGTGCACAGGGGAGAAATATCACCTGAAGCAGCCATACTGTTGGCTTGACCATCATTCCCGTGACCAAGACCCTAAGGACAAACTCAATGACCAGATAATTATAGCTGTGAATTCTGAGTGGGACGTGACGAAAATGTAAAGTGCAGCCGTGTTTACTGTGTGAGAACCCTTTTGGGAAAGGGAACATGACAAAGGCTAGAGGGCTGTATGAGGTGTTGACTGACGGTTTTTATGTTAGTAAATAACACAAAAGACCCTCCAAATCTCAATGGGAGGATTTTGACTCAAGTGTTCACTAGATTAATGAGCCAACGCAGAACATCAATTGATAGAGTGGGATCTCATTACAGAAAGGAAGTAGGATCTCCAAGTATGATGCAAACTTCAATTCCTCCTCACCTGCAGTTCCTCTCTCTGCTCAGGGGTCACAAGCTTCAGCGCGGTCACTACCAGCCAGCTACACTTATTGTCCTGGATGTCTGTACCAATCTTGCCTGTTACTTTGGGGTCACCATAGCAATCCAAGTAGTCATCCTGGAGGCAGGAGTGAGATACATCAGCATCGCAAACTCATCTTTGTCTCCACCCATTCTTTTGAGGGTCACTGCCAAAATGCATGAATACCTGTATCTGGAAGAATTCGCCCATCTCCAGTAAGATGCTTTTGGCATTGTGGTGCTCCCTTTCAGAGTCAATCCCCGCCTAAACCACACGCCACATAACATCAGTACAAGGATCTGGGATTTTATAGTGCCCGTCATCCTTTCCATAAGCATCACACACTCACCATGTACATTGCTGCAGCCACAGGGAGGTAGAATGAGTAGAAGGCAGTTTTGTACTTAACTATGGCCTTATACCTGAGAAAGAGTGAAAGACAGAAGGACTAAGACCATATGGTGTGGGCCACATTACCCCGGTAAAATCCACACCCTTCTTCATTGAAGTTAAATTGTAACTTGTCTGCCATCGCATACGGGGTCCCAAACACCCTGGTGCTGAAGCGTCTGCCCCTCTCTCCCATCTTACCTCTCCTCAGTGAAACGGTTCAGGTCGATCTTGTTGGGAGGCGCCGTCATCAGGTCTAGAGCCTGACCCAGTTCTGTCTGGAATGAGGTCTATAAAAATCAGGGGTTTTGGAATGGGGTGGGAGGGGGGGGGGAAGAGAGAGCACTGATGTAACGAGTTAAAGTACATACAGACCCAGGGTAAGGGGGTGGAAGAAAGATAGATGGATGGTTTGCTAATATATCAGGCTGAATACCCAGCCCTAGCTCTGAGATTCAGGCTGGGCTACAGCATTCCCTGGGGGGCTGGGGGGGTTATGGTGTAACTCTTCAAAAAAGATGGCTTGTTTCCTTCCTCCGAAGAATTCTGTGACCAACTGGCATTTGGTTTGGTTCGAGCTTCATGTTTTAATCTAATCTACTTCAGCTCGGAGACACTGATCTATCCAAAAGCTGACCAAGTCTGGAGGACACCCCCCCACACACACAACTTACTGGCCGAATGCTGTATTCAGCCCCTGAAAGCCTTTCCCCTTAACAGCATATTGAGAGGTGTGGGTAGACGGTAATGGTTCAGTGTAATGTTCCACTCCTGGTCTGAACAGCTCCAGCAAGTCATGTTCTCCTGCCCTGTGATGCCAGTATTTATGGGTTTTTATGTGCATTTTTATTGCATATCTCTGTGGCCACCACCTCTGTGAAGAGCTCCAGTAGGTGTGTGTAGTAGGACTGCCCCCTGCAGTGCCTCCGAAGCAGCCGGTAGATCGAGCCCTCCAAAAGAAATGCGTCGTTGATGGCATCCAGACCAACTCCCTCCTGGAAGAGAAGAAGCTTTCGTTTTAAAAAGCAGAAATGTGACGGTCTCAGGAAACAGCCTTACAGCTGAACCTGACCACGGGCAGTCTACACAATGTCTACAGAAACGTATTTTACTCATGATATTAGTTTTAAAAAATATATATATATATACCTATTTCACCATGGTTAAATCAACCATAAAGTCAGCTTACTGCTGCTGAAAGGAGAGAGAACCCATATTCTGACTTGTCATGGTAACGGTAATGAGGTTTCTTGGATCGTACCTTCTTGTACCAGCAGAGCTGTCCTCTCCGAGTCACAGATGCATCCATGATGTCGTCTGCTACCAGGAAAAAGGCCTGAAGCTGTCAAGACAGGGACAGAGAGAGAGAGAGAGAGAGAGTGAGTGTGAGAGGTCTATAGTGTTGGATGGCTCCTGATACCATCACTCACAGCTCCAGAATGTCTACAGTTCGTTGAGCACTGATGACCCCTTCTTCAGGGCAGCTGCTCCCTCGCCCACCCTCTCAGGTCCCACTTATCCTTCTCACCAGTTCAATACACCAGCCAACCAGTAGGGCACGCCTGACGTCATCAGGAGAGAGCTGAGAGGGCGGTACCAGCTCCCTCAGCGAGCCAATCACAGACAGGCCACGGTTCCTCTTGCCACCTGGCGCATTGTACCGCAACACCTGCAAGATGCACCTGAAAGAGTTAGAAGCTGTGATCTTTCCCTCACTCATGCACTTATCCTGACTATGCCTGGTCTCAGTGATAATGTCTGTGAGACATATTACAGCTAACCAGTAAACCAAACTCACAGGTGGCCACCTCCTGTAAAACTGGACACAAACTGCTTTTGACAGTATATTATTGACTTTATTTGTAAAAATACCACAAAACAACACTGAGTAAAAGTACACGCTGCAGTGTATCTGCAATATTGTCTTTTTATAGCTCTGCAGAAGTTCAGTACCTCTGCCAGCCTGCTCAGGGCATCTGCGAGGGCGGGGTCTGTTAAGTCTCTTTGGGTAAGTTCAGACACCAGCTCTTCAAAATGAACGTCGAAGAGCTCAGCATCCGTCATGTCTGACCTCTGCTGCTGGGCACCATTACTGCAGCTGTTGTCAGTCTAAGACAGACCGTGTGTCCAAAGCGCAGCCAGAGATTGGAGGTGCAGGCGAAGAATGACGGCAAATTCCGGATGCAGATAAGAAACATGTAACCGGGAGAGAGATATACATACTGGTATACAGGTAGTGGAATGAAACAATCGCTATACACATGCATACAAACACACACAACTTTGGTCAGCTGGCTGGCGTGAGAATTTCAAATCGATACAAGTCTGCACACGCATTTACGTGTATGTAAGCGTTTAATAACCTTGTAAATACTTTGTAGGGTATGCAAACTACCCCGACGTTTTTGATGTGGCTAATAACTGGTTTATATAGTGGAATTATACAGATTTGCCGTAAGATTTCTCGCGTGAGAGTCTGAGCATGAGTGTCATGCCTGATGCGTTTGAGTTGGCAACCCTGTATTACCTATATGCACAAATGACACAGTACAGCCACCAGTAACACCAACAGCTAGGAGCAGTACTGAGTGAGCGAACCCAGTAACAACTACAAGGATGCATAATGTGTTAGAGATGCTCTTGATAGCAACAGCAGTCCTTAGTAGATACACCGCAACAGAATCGTTATGCAACAGCGAGTGCGGCTTAAAATTTCATCTACGTCAATAATCATGCTCTAATTATAGAAGATAAATTCCTATTTTTAACTCGGCAAGTTACCGCCTGTAAGTGAATATCAACACTGAACAGCAGTGAGCTCACAATTCGGTCGTTGTATGTATTCCTGTGCAAATGACTAGCACAGTAACAGTCTATCTGACATTACGTGCAAATAAAAAGCAGAAAGTTTCCGTATAAGAAAGTACACAATTACTGTCTTACCATGTCTTTCCAAAGTTCTTTCCAAATGACACTAGCTTTGCTACATTTGCTTTGCTATCTGACTGGTACCGCAACTACCGACAAAAATGCTTTATGGACAATGTAGTCTTTCACTGTAACTCCCCTGGTAGAACAGAAAAAAGGCAGCACCTCAAATCCCATGATTCATGGCGAGCGCGTTTAAAAGGCGAGGTTTCGGAGGCTTCATATGACATCGACGTGTATTATTTGTTGGCGCTATCGAACGAAGATGGGCTTGAGTTGTGCTGGCGAATGAGGAGGCTGCAGAGGACGGAACTAGCGTAGTGGACCCATCTGACGATGAGGCGGCGTTACTGTGGAAACAGCCGAACGTCGCCGTTATTATTTAAGAACATGTAATAATAGATATTACAGAAATGACTAATGAAATCTAAATGTGTATTTTAGTAATAGAAGTATTTCGATTTTTAAAGACGGTCATACTGTCATATTTTAGCACATTTTATGTATTTTGAGTGAAGTAATTATATTTTTCTTATTGAAAGTAAAATCCTGTAAATGTGGTCTTGACAATTCACAGCATACAATATTTTGCGATCTTAATTGATATTCTCTGCTTTGGCTCCCTGATATATTGTGCAAACTGCAGGTTTATTGGTGAATGGAGTTTAATGACCTACAGCTTTTTTTTTTGTTGAATACATACATCCATTTTCTGTACCTGCTTGTCCTAATTAGGATTAAGGGGGGTCTGGAACCTATCCCATGGGTGCAAGGACAGGGTGGCAGCCTACTGCAGGGCGCGCACGCACGCACACACACACACACACACACACACA